TCATCAACCCCTTTAGCCAGTGTGGCTGATAGTCCCACCGTATCTTCTTTTTAAGACATCGTTTAACCAACTAAAATTATCACGAGGTTTCGTCTATCAGCTGTAGTTTTGAGTTTTGCGCTCGCTTGCCTCATGGCTGCTTCCAGATTGCGTCATGGGAACGTCTCTCTTCTCATTTTTTGCACTCTCTTTGATTGCTTCTGCGCATCGATTTAAATTCGAGTCCCCGGCGGTTATCACATGCTGTGACTTTTCAGCTGGAGCATCGTGCACCTGGGGGTTATTTGCACCTGTGACGCCGGCTGCTTTGTCACCTCCCAGCCCCATTATTACTTCACTGAAGCTGGGCCTTGCGACAATTGAACCGGCTGAACCTGGTTTTTGCAAACTTGCTTCCTCTTTCTTCTCCGCGGTTCTGGTTGCCGGTGCCCTACTGTTCTCTCCGTCGGCAGCTCGTTTGTTCACCTTGGCTAGTGCTTTCTCGGTGGAATTCAGCCTTTCCCCATTGCCCTTGTTTTCTCTTGTTCTATCGCCAATGCAGTCTCCAGCTCGATAATTCTCATCAGCAGTTCATTCTGGGCAACCATCATTTTTTCCATTTTTTCCTCGACCTCACATTCCTTACACTTCGCGTCAGCCTTCTCTACATTTGCTTCTGCACTTGGGTCCTTTTTAAAACCCACCCCGCATCCTGAACATTTTACAGCCTTTTTAACCATGTCTTTGTGACACCAATTTTCTTTATGACTTGTCTCACACGATAATTAAACACAATTCCTGCCCTAGAAAAACAGAAAGTCTAAACTCTATTACAAGTATTTGCGTATTCACTATACGTGCACCTCCCTCACGGTGTGGCAAGAGAAAAAACCACAAAGAAACAAAAACACACGCGCACAAGCTAGTAAATACCTGGCGAATGATCCCCGAAACAGCCGTAAAATGTAATAAGTGCTACAAAGATGATAACTGCTGCCTTAATAAATATAAAGGCAAGCTCAAAACATGCAAAACCACTTATCTGCGCAGTCAATTAGGAGCGCTCAAAAAACACGTCCATCCACCGTGCCAGTGGACTGAAAAGCGCGGGGATGTGCGGGGAATAGCGCGGGGATAAACTGAACAGCGCCTCGCGCATGGATGCAGCGCCGCCTCACAGCTTCCGCTGAGCATCACAAAACATGTTTGCACAAAATACAGCGTTCTATTGAGGAATGTACCACTACGCTAGCGTCAGACCACTAGATGGGAATTTGTAAAATCATCAATTGGCAGACTCGCACGTCAAAGGTATGGGTTCTACTGCGCTCTCTATTCGACCAACGCATAACAATGACATAGTTCGTGTTGCCTTTCGGGAGGGCATGAGCAATCAGGAGCTGGCTGAACAAGGCGCTCAATTGTTTTTCCCGCAGACATCTCAGCCCGTGGAATATGCATACCAGAAGATTGCAAGTGCTGAAGACCCTGAACCATTTAATAGCCCTTTCTTTATGCTCGAGCTGGAATACGCCTTTACACATAATATCGCACGCAGTGCACCAGGAGCCGATGGTGTATGCGTTGCTCATTCAGGCAATATACCCCTTGAGTAAAAAAGATTATCTTATCAAAGAGTTTGATACAGTCAGCGATACCTGAATACTGCCAGTAACATAGACGTTTTCCTTAGTCAAGCCCATTTGGAAGCCCAGTAAGCTACCCCATACCTTATCCAACCTCCGCCCAATCTCTATAAGCTCGTGTGTCTCTGAAGTAATTGGCAGCATGGTTAACACACGCTTGGTCTGGTAGCTTAAAGATCGCGACATTTTGGCCCCTACAATGTACGGATTCCGCGCAGGCGTATCAAGAAGATGTACTTCTTCGCCTAAAATTAGACGTCCTCGACCCTAGCTCGGTGCACCCACGGGCTGTTGTAGAAGTTGTAATACGCAAGGCATACGATGGCGTACCGCACAGTACAATCATGACGAAAGCAAGTGCCCTTGAGATCAAAGGAAAAGTGTATAACTTCATAGTGGGCTTCCTGGAAGGGCGAAGCTACCAAGTCGAAATCGGCCAAGACACCAGGACCGTACGAACTAACCAGGTAGGCTTTCCCCAGCGCTCGGTTATCGCATCCACCCTCTTTAACATAGCTGTGTACCAGCTACCAAGACGCCTTGCGATCGTACCGAGCCTGAAACACGGGGCATATGCTGACGATGTAACCAAGTGCACGCATCAAGGAACCATCGGTGAGCAGGAGGATGTCTTACAAAGAGCACTCAGCAATATTCATGACTACGCAATAGAAACAACACACCGCTCCGGACAACACAGTTTGCTGTCATTCATGATGGCCAAACCACGTTCGTCGAGCAGGAAGAAAAGCGGTGTTTTAAACTTCACGAACAAATGAACATCAGAGCTACATTACCATGTTTCAGCGGAAGAGATGTACAGCACTAGAGTAGAGGTAGTGACCATCTTAGATTGTTTGGATCGGGCCATGAAAAATTGATCCGGCTTACCATCGAGTGCATACACGGATTCCCAGGCTGGCCATGGGGCATACGCTAACCTTCTTTACACATGTCCTGTACTCCGGAAGATACGAGACTAGACGCGCCTGCTCCCTGAATATGGTCATCACGTTATGAAACAGCATGTGCCAGGGCGCTGTGGTATCGCCAGAAACGAGAAGGCTCACAGAGTAGCATGCGCTCATTTCTTCACCGCGATAGCCAGAGCTTTTGATACTCCTTCCACTCTTCTGGCTACACCACCAGGACTAGCAGATTCGATAATAGATAGCATGTTACCAAACACCATCGTGCGGCCTGCCTCACAGCAGTGGGTAATCCACTCTCAATACAATCACTTCCTTCGAAGGTGTTCACACGGCGAGAGTCTGTCCTTCTTCAGCGAATTCAAGCAGGAACATTTCTTACTCCTTTCTTGCTGATCCGTTTTCACAGGAGTGGCACACCACCACCCGTTACAGGTTTTTGCTCTCTATGTGCAACTGCCGGACTCATCCCAACCACATGCAGTGCGAGTGCCCTGTGTGCACCCCACACAGGGTTCTTGTCTTCGCCACCATCAAACGGGGACCCTCAGCTTCTCTCCAGACGCGGGCATGCCCGGAGCCTTCGCCCCCAGATTGCGCCACCAAGTTCTGGCTAGCAATCATCTTGTTTCTCCAAAATGCGGCTACGCCACCGGTCAGCGACCGGCTCCGCGAGAGCCACAAGATTCAAACCATGCAAGCGGCCCACACATTGCTGCCTCCATGACGTCATTAATAAAATGAAGGCCGCCCGAACCACTCTCCCTGCTATAGTGCTCTGTCCTGGTTCACTGAAGTGCCCTCGGCTCGAACAAAGTGTAGTAAACGTGGTTTCGTTCATTTATAAACTTCAGGTCAGCAGCCGAGTGCCTTAGCCACTATATCACTGTGGCGGACTGAGCTGCTTCAAATGGGTGTTGACGCGGCTATTGGAAGTTTGAAGAAAACCTCGGTGAAGCGTTTACTCGAGTAAACTTTTGTTTCATACGCAAAGACACCGAAAGCGGGACGCGTTAAAGACGTTAGCGCTCGGCTTTGTTGGCTCGCATCTCGTCAATGTGTTACGCGCGCGCCATCTGTATTCTCGAACGCGATCGGTGTTCTTGTCTCATACTTCGAGTGTGTCGCTGGTCTTCCACTACCGACGCTTGCGTTCTGCTGCCCTGGCTCGAACCTCGTCGGCGATGACAATGCCATACGCGAACGCGATCGGCTTCACTAACACTTGCAACGCCAGTGACAGCCGGGAAAGGTACGCGCACACTATCGGAAAGCATGCCGTGTAAAGTTGTTCATAAAGGCAATTGGTGCACCTTGCAACAGCCGACAAGGGCAAGAATAATGTAAAATCGGGATTTAATGCTGTTCTAAAACGTGCCGATAGGCCCCTGGAACGCAAGGCCGCTCAGAGCTCACGCGTTAACATTCATGTTGCCTGTGATGGTATCTCAGATTGGCGGTTCTGAGGCAAATAACTCGCCTGTAACATCATGCATTGTGCCGACAACCAGCATTGCAGATGAGCACTCTGCGTCTTCTTTCACCCTGGCGCAAAGACCTCGAGGAACGAAAGACAAGTGCCCCGTCCAGAATTGTTTGGTCCCCGCCGCGGTGGCCTAGTGACTAAGGTACTCGGCTGCTAACCCGCCATTCGCGGGTTCGATTCCCTGCTGCGGCGGCTGTATTTCCGATGGAGGCGGAAATGTTGTAGGTCCGTGTACTCAGATTTGGGTGCACGTTAAGAAACCCCAGGTGGTCAAAAGTTCCGGAGCCCTCCACTACGGCGTCTCTCATAATCAAATGGTGGTTTTGGGACGTTCAACCCCACAAATTAATCAAATCAATCAAATCAGAAATGGTTAGTCTTGCACGCGGTGATGCTTCAGTTCACGATTGAAGCGTTCTACCATGCTGTTCGAGCTGGGGTGGTAAGCGGTAGTTCGTATGTGTATGCGTATAAGTGTTGCACGCCATATCGAGCAAGTCATGTGTGCAACACCTGACTTGCTCGTTATGCATGTGCAACAGAATCTGCAGTGATGTCCCTTATCGGCGTTGGTTCAGACCGGTGGGTATATCGATCTTTTAAGTGAGTATGTAACGTTGCTTTTCGGACACTGGTAGCAGACCCGCAATGTCGACAAGAAGCTTTCGTGCTGAAAAATGACCCGGCGAGCTGGTGGTGCGTTTGTTGACTTTGACGCTCTGGCACTGAATATATTCCCATGTCCAGCAACTAACATTAGCCTTTTTATGAGGCCAAAGGTGACGAGACGCTGTGTTTTTCGTATTCCTGGGTGTGGTTAGGAGTATGGAGCATTATAACCCAACAGTGCTCTTCAATGCATACTACATTGCAGATTACTCAACGACACAGTGTACAAGTTAATATCTTTCTAAATCTCTAAAATAACTGGCCGAATATACGAACAGTGTCATCACTCACCCTGGGGCATAGTTGCACGCGAAGAGCTTCTTATAAGGAAACCTGGGATTATCGTCGTTTCGAAGCTTGTAGTGCGTATAGCCACATCCTATGTAACGTGTTTCCGCCCAAGCTACCTGAAGAAACAAAAATGCTCTTTGTCGCCATCCTGTTTCAGTATAATTAGGTAGCAAGTAACGTTGAGAAAGTGAAAACTACCCCAACTGGTAAGCTTTAATGACAAACACAACAGTGTATAAATAATACTTGTATTTACTTCACAATAAGGTGAAAATATTTTGCTTTTATCAGACTCGTTCTGAACAGTATCTTTTATGTGTATTCCCATTTCTACACAGAGAAGTGTTACTGACTTGTTCTACACTGGTCTAGCCGATTTGAAGTAACAAAAATTAATATTCCAGAAATAAATTTTATGAAGTAATATTTCACCAAGCTTAATATTGAAGCTGTTAAGCATGGCATATAGATTCCTCTTCTCCGAGAAATTTTGTTACTCCATTGACTTGGAACCAGTGAGGCGACAGCTGTGCGCTACCTGACCTCGCCTCGCCAAGCCACCACACCAACTTGTTACGATGTCATTCCAAGGCGAGCTCGGCAACAGACCTCACCACGTCTGCTATGGTGACAGCTAATGTGATGTCACAAAATGTAGCGCATGAGTCACAGCAACAGCAGTTGAAGAGACACGTTGAAGCTACTGAAACGACAAAGTGTAACTACTAAGCATGATTGCCAATTGAGTAAAACGCTGACCATCCAGCCACTGCTTTGGTTTTGCACGTGAGGGATGGCGTGAAATTTACCGCGAAAGCAAGAGTGACAGTGTCGCACCTGCGTGAAGTGAGTGACCACTCGACCAGGGCTCACGCGGAAAGGATCAACGTTGCCGGGGTCGAAGTCTTGGTATTCATCGAACCAGTCCTTCACTCGGCCAGCGCTGTCGATGACTTCTGTCGGCGTTGGCTCGTAATTCCAGGCGATGTTCTGACCCACTTTCGGGAACTTTGCTGCATTGACAGCACATTGAACGTTGGGTTGGATACTTCACAAAAATCAGATAGCCAGTACGTGTTTCTCATACCGACGCACAAGCAAAAAAGAGCCCTAGGACTCAGGTAATGTACATTTCCTGAAAGTATGTCTGAATACATGGTGAATTCATCAATGAAAATTGTCATGAATAAACCAGTGCAGTTATCACACTGGAAAAGTCCAATGGTTAAACAAGCGTCAATATTACTGGGACGCCAGATATTGATAACAGATATTACGAGCACATACATACAGCAATCGAACGCGAGATCTATTCCTTAGTGGTACTTTCTTTTCGAAACTTTTTTATAAAAGATATGCCACTTTATGCATTTTATCAAGCTGTTTTCGTGAAAATGTAGAAATTCTGCCAGGTAGACTCACACGAATGGCTTTATTAGCTTATGCTTACGTAACGCGAGTGAGAAACAAAACGCACATTTGTTTATATCACCTGTTGTCACAGTTTTCTAGTATATAAATTATTCTTTATGGCCAGCCCGTTCATCTCTCCTACGAAACATATTGCGGCTTAGAAAACACTTTTCAGCAGCTCGCGAAAATCAAGCAATTTCAAGTCTGAATACAGTGTTCAAAATTATCACACGCTTACCACTGTACATTATGATTTTTGTACTTCATTTGTAGCGAAACACAAATTTACTAAAATAACATTACTTGGACATTGTAAAGGTCTCATATCTGCAAAGACTGCAGCGAAAAATAAACGTGCGAAAATTAAGCGTGACGGAAAGCCCAAAGGTGAGGACCACTTTCCATATATTACGGTAGTCTTCACTGTTATATGCGATACGATGATGTCTCCTTGCCGGAAATGAAAGTGCAGCTCTGTGCGGTGCTCGTAGCTATCGACGCGTCATTACTTTTTTGTGGCTTAAAAAAAAACAGCGCACATGCCTTAGTAGCAAACTTTTGTTTTTGTAATTGTAGAGTAATAAAAGTGAAATAAAATAGGCTAGTAGGAAAGAATTCATTCTATAAAAACTTTTTGCGGTGCACAAACAAAGAAGTAAGGGCAAAATACTTACGAGTACTTATACGTCACTTTTCTTTACGTCCTTAATCAGGGAGTGCGCGCTGAACGTTTTCCACAGTAATACGTAATATCTTTTCATGTCACGATTACTGTTTGCCTATCCGTGAGTACCAGCACAATACTTTGGTTTGCATGCGCTTTTATTTTTTAGAAATACTTTAATAAAGTATTAAAATCAGCTAAATTTTGTTTTCCTGCTATGTCATCTTTCGATTTTGCGGTACAGCAAGACTGCTACTTGTACACGCTGAGACAAATTTAATACCCCAATGTTCGTGCATGAAGTGTTGCTTCACACTGTTTTCTAATTTCAATAACATCGATATTAGCAAAACCATGCTTGTCGGCATCAAGCAGGTCACATTGTTTTGAAATAGGTGACTGAATGTACATAATATTCAAGACAACTGTTTCTGCTTTCAAGATTATCATGTAGGCTCAAGGGATTTCTATGAAAAATGATTAAAAATACTTATTACAATTGGAAAAGTTGTTGCCTATAGTATTCCTCTTTTTACTTCTTTGTGACCGACTCTTTGTGAAGTTTTTATTGTTCGCGTCATTACGCTTCCTCGGGAAGTATTTAAATGTGGACATCGGCATCTTTAAATATGCTGCTCAAGGCGGGTTTTTTTTTGTAGTCACTTGAGGTAGAGGGTAAAGAAGGATTTCGCAACTTACATGTTTTCCGCTGCACTCCTTTATCATGCCGGTCATCACACAGGTTTGTGAACGCCTGGGCCACCTGTGCTAGGTCATCATCCCATTTCTGCACTACAAAAAGGTCGTACTATTTACACTGGCCAACCACACACTATTAAAAACGCCAGCCTGTTAAATCTTAGGACGCGAAGGCGAGAAATACAGGTATTTGAGAACGTTGCAATTATATTGCGCAAATTGCAGTGCTGATTTCTTGATGTTTTTGTGAGCTTTTACATATTAATTAGACTTTGCTTATGCCCTGAAACAACAGTAGGGTGACGTTTAATACAAGCTGCTTACCACGAGCAACACATTGACTGTCGCGTACAGTGAATGTTCAAACACACTGCTTGGCCGCAAAAGTGCCCCAACACTGCAAATTGGCACCCACCTGGAAAAATAACTTGTCAATTAAACTTGCTAAGTTATTGATCTTCCGGAACCAACCTAACATCTCTCGGTTGCAAAGTTTAGGCTCCAGCTCATATTATTACAGCCAGCCAGCTGTAACTCGTATTTAGCAAGAATGTACATGCACAATATCTATGCTTCTAATGACCTAATCAGTGCTGTGTCTTCAGTTTGTAATAACGACATAGTGCTTTTTTGATTATTCTGATTGACGGCAAATAGTTAGGCACATAAATAAAGAGGACATGGTGGTCTATCAGTTATGGGGCCCGAATGCTGTTCTGAAGGTATGCGGATTCAATTTCGGCCATAGCAGCCACATTTTGGTGGAAGCAAATTGCTACAAGTCTGTGTACTCAGGTTTTGGTGCTTGTTCAGAAATGGTAAAATGGCCAAATTTCTGGCGCGCTCCACTATGACGTCTCTCAAAATAGTACCTTTGTTTTGATACCTGAATACCTAAACTTTTTTACGTAGAAAGAGAAAAGATTCGGAATTTCGCTTGTGTTTACATTCCACCTCACTCTGTGCTCAATAGGCGCAGCGCAAAACCGGTGAATAAATCAATTTGTACGAATGTGATGATTATAGTCCTAAAGGCTTTGGCCGGTAGCCACGAAGCTTATATTGATATTCACTGCAGACAAAATTGCAATTAGGACGTCAAATCAGAAGTGATGATGCCTTTGAGTATATAGGAAAATCAGCTTACTTCTAAGAGCAACAGTAAGATTGTGGTGTTTGTCATACACTGCTGCTCGTGAGCGACTTTTTCGTTAGTGGCTGGGGATGTGTTTTTACGTAGTTGTCTGAAATAATCCATGTATATATATATATATATATATATATATATATATATATCGACGTTTTGGCCTAGAGTCTGGCCTTAATAAGAAATGAGGGTACAGTTTGTTGGTGCTCTGCTTTATGCAATCCTAAATGAGAGAGGGTACGAAAAAAAAGAAAAAGAAGAGAAAAACAAAAAAGCACTGAGAACATAAGGTACACCTCCTGCCCTCCGCTTATCTCCCCGGCCGCCTCCTTCCACCTTTTTTTTTTTTGACGATCACGTTTGAGATGTCCGCGGTCCGCATATCCTTCCTTCCACTAACGTATTGTTCCTGACCAGACGGCGCCGCATGGCTCCGGTGGTTCGGTGTGGCGTAACACAGCTTTCTAAGAAGTTTAAGCTTGTAACTACTCAGTTCCACGTCGACGTCTTGTCGTTGAAAGAGGGGCGCCGTGCATTGCCGCAGAGGCTGGAAAGCGGTTGCAATATTAATTCTGGCGCGCTCCTGGATTACGCAGTAGACACTCTTGATTATGCACAGGGATGCTGTTAGACAAGTCATGCTTAGCACAATTGATTGGTTATTAAGCTAGAAACAGAAACAGATGACAGCTGTACTTAAAAGTAGGTACATTAATAGTATTTTCATTTGTCCCGTTACCACCACAGTTGCAGTGCCGTGAACTCAGTTATTATTGTCATTAGCGCCGTTATTGTTTTTGAATGCTTTAATGACTGCAAGTGTACCCGGATTCTCATTTATTCTTTTTTCGAGGGTGCTAAATTGGTGGATGAAGTATGACTCCGATTGTTCACGTTCTTGGTTGGATGGAAACACCGTTTCAAAAAGTGTTACGGAGAGTTTGTTGAAGGGGCGCTGACACAAAAACTTTCGCCTCGCGTTTTTTTGCTGCAATGCGTTGCTGGGGGCCTGTTAGCCATGACATGATACATATTTTGCTGCAGCACGCGACAGATAATTGATTACAAGCCCCTCTTTATCGGTCAGTGTCAGTTTCGGTTTGAGAGAGTTCCGAAAACTGGCTGCAACTTTCGCCACCTAGTGTGTGCAGCTCTTGACCACGTCAGCACACAGAAACTTGACGCACTTCTGCACGGTCCGCATGAAGAATTAATTTCGAATACAAAACGAGGCTGGAATGTCGCCTAACACAAAACGTTCTAAGCGTGCGCCACAGCTACGCACTCGCAAACAGCCACCGAGAAATATAGAATTCGGGAATTTACGCAGCGAAAGAAAAATGGCGTCTATGACGTCATCATAACCTCTTTTGTTGACCTCAGAGTGGTGACGTGAGGGAAGTAGGGGGTCACCTCGGGATCACCTCCGAGGGTGTATATAGCGTTATGTAGTCGATCGCTCACAGAAACTTCAAAATTATGTTAGAAACCTTCCAATCTATATTCACTGCTGATATCTTGCAGATGATATACCAATGTTCAAGAGAATGAACCACGCAGGCTATCTCGGCCCCGAAATTTTGTGTCAGTACCCTTTAAATGAATGGTCGGGAATGTTGACAGGTTTCGATAGACGCAGACTTGGGGCTCCTTTCGCATGGGCTCTGTGATTATTTAAACAAATTTTAAATGGCGGTTCTGTTTGTCGGATGTACTGCACACTGCACACGTTGCATTCGAGTAGGTATGCCACATTAGAGGAATCGCATGTTAGGTTTCCTCTACGTTAATCAAAAACTTGGATTGTGTGCTGGTTGGCTTTTCTGTTTCTCGCATAGTTTTCCATACACGACATCGTGACTTTAAACAAGGTCGGAATAAATTATTAGGGGTTGAAGTATTGACTTGAGAGTGGACAAGTGTGTCTTTGAGGTTGCGTGGTCGTGGAAAACGACGTCAGGAGCCTATGGAATTGAGCGTTTCAGACGTTCACTTTATTCCAGAATGTTGTTGTCATTTAAAGACTTCGTTTACATTGGGGAAGTTCATGATGTAAGTTAAAGGACCACTTTGGTGATTTTTCGACCAAGTCAACGTAATGGTGTTTCTATGTTCATGAGACACTCTTGTCAGAAGCCCAACGGCTGAAATGCTCAGGAAATTCCAAAAGAATTTTAATATGCAAGAATGTGCAAAACCGAAACCAATCACTGCCAGGCGCCCTGCCTGCGTAAGACGTACATTTTTTTTTCAAAACCGGAGGCGGTATGTTGGTCCTGAGGACGCGTATAGTATGAAAACTGCTAAAGCCAGACCAGCGAAGCGTCGAACAAACACCACTGAAGAAGGAAGAAAGCTTTTCCGTGCTATACCCGTGCCAAAGACCGACACCGTCGCTTTGTGTACAACACAATATACGCTGTAGTGACCGAAGTAGTGATGCGATCGGCAGCGTCCCTTCGGTTGACATGCCAAACATGACGTCACACAAACAATGTTGCTAATACTTCTGGCAAGCGAGGTGAGCTTTTCGAGACCATAATTAAAATTTATTTGCAAACAATTGACGAAATCTCTAAAACCTGTAATTTGGCATAAATGATAGAAATGTGCAAAGGAACGTACCCAGTGAAATTTATTGAGATCCATTGATCCCAAAAAATCACCGGAGGTGGACTTTAAGCAGCGATTTATTTGTAGCGGGTCATCTTGCGGCAGTCGCTTCATAAGTAAGTCATCACGCTCCAGTTTTCTAGCTTTCTTAGCAGCGTCACCAATTACATGCTTGGGGTATTTTTGTTTATCAACCATAGGTTTTATCCTCTGTGAGCTCGTGTCAAAATCAGCGTCTCTTGAGCAGATTTACTTAAACCAGTGAACCTGGTTGTATGAAATACTGTTTTTACAGTGGCGCGGGTGATCGCTTTGGTATTGGAGGTATTGTTGTCGATTTGTTGGTTTGTGATATGAGGTTGTAGAAAGCTTTTATTCTTCTATTGTTATGGTAACGTCAAGAGAATGTGCGGTTGCTTGCGAGTAGTTGTGTGTGACGTGTATATTTGGATGTAAAGTGTAGTGTGTGTCGATGAAGCGGAAAGCTCATCCTCGCTGTGGGTCCAAATAAGAAAGATGTCGTCTATATATCTTCTGAAGAAGAGTGCTTTAAAAAACTTTGTGCGAGAAATTCAAATTCTAGCTTTCCCATAATATCTTGGCATAATTGGGTGCCACATTTGTGCTTATCGCAGTTTCGCTAATTTGTCGAAAATACTCTTGGTTAAATTTAAATTAATTTATTCCTAGGACCATCCTCGTCAAAGTTGCGATGGTCCCAATGAGAATGGTCTACCTTATGTTCACATAGCTTTTTTGTTTTCTTTTTTTCGCATAACCTCTCTTTTAAGATTGCATAAAGCTGAGCAACAACAAACAGTAGCCTCATTTCTGATGAAGGCCACACTCTGGCTGAAACGTTGAATGAAATAAGACTAGAAAGCTGAGCACCAACAAACTGTACCCTCAATCCTGATGAAGGCCAGGCTCTGGCTAAAGCGTCGAAATAAACCACGCCGTGACTGCTCATGGAGGATCTACTTGACTAGTTGCAACGCTACGGCCACTCAACCACCATGCCTACACACACACACACACACACACACACACACACACACACACACACACATATATATATATATATATATATATATATATATATATATATATATATATATATATATATATATATATATATATATATATATATATATATATATATATATATATATATATATATATATATATATATATATATAAGCGTTGGCCTCCGCTGCTTCATGTGTCAAGCCAACTGACGGATTAGTTGCTGCATTTAAAGAAAGAAGAATGTGTGAAAAGGTATTGCAGTGCTTCATTGATTGATATGTGGGGTTTAACGTCCCAAAACCACTATATGATTATGAGAGACGCCGTAGTGGAGGGCTCCGGAAATTTTGACCGCCTGGGGTTCTTTAACGTGCACCCAAATCTGAGCACACGGGCCTACAACATTTCCGCCTCCATCGGAAATGCAGCCGCCGCAGCCGGGATTCAAACCCGCGCCTTGCGGGTCAGCAGCCGAGTACCTTTGCCACTAGACCACCGCGGCGGGGCTATTGCAGTGCTTCAGTGAATTACATTAACTTCAAGTGTAAGGTAACGATCGAGACCCTACGGTGAAGTACAATTCAGCACGTCACGGAAGGAAGAAAAATAATGATGAAATAGAAATAATCTAGAAAGCTCAATAATATTTGGTCCAATTGTCTCTTTTATTCATCTCTAGGAGGTAGTGCGCTTCACAAAATGTGATTTGGCAACTCGCCCTTTCACAAATTTGTTGACACTTACGATAACGAGTGAAGTTTAAGTTCTGAGTGGCGCAACTTTTCATGTAAACTATCAATAAGATGTAATTAATATAATAACCGGAACTTACAAGCAAACGTAACAATACATTTTGCTACTGTACTGAACATTTATTCACCTATATAAGCCACACTTAGTGCAAAATTTAGAAAGTAATTATATATATGTGGTTCGTACATGATTGCTGCTTAGATTACTGTGTCGTAGAACTTTATGTGCAGCACATGACATGAGAAATAACGCTGCTTAATACAGTAATAAATATTTTTTTCGGAAATACCCCCATACTTCCCTATGCTTCGTTGTACCAAGGCGAAAATGAACGACGATAGTGGTAATGAAGTTGTAAAATTATGGGGCTGTATTCGGAAGCGTGCTCTTAGTTTGCTCCAACATTTTACATCCGTATATTATTCTTGCGTTCATGTCTCGGTACTTATAGGAGCATTTTTTATTAGCTTTGTCATGAACCACTACAATCTATGCTCCGTTGAGCAGGGTGACTTAAATAAATTATTAAATAAATATATGAGTACATGGGTAAATATATCATGCATATACTAATTAACGATCGTAGGGCCTACCATGCGGTACATGTTTGTGGCAGCCGGGAAACCGGAAAGTTGCCCTTGAGCAACCCGGGATCGAAAGTCATTATGTGCCTTCAGAACCTCAGCCTTTTCAGCCATGTTGAGTCCAGTTGAAACGTAGATGCAGTTGTTGCTGGGTGGTTTGCAGGCGGTGTGGACCAGGCCACCCAACAGCTTCTGGTACTCAGGACGACATGTATACGGAAGGGCGTCGACGGGGCATGACGTGGTAGATAGAAAAAGGCCCACTACTAAAGGTATCGCTGCGTCTCTCATCGCGATGGGGTTGCTCTTCGTCTGATGGCCAGCGTGATTCCGTTGTGCGATTTAGAGAATGTATCTGGTGAAGAAGCCTGAAATTTGTTTTGCAGTAATCAGCACAATGACAAAGAGCGAGAATCATGTGCTTCCTACAGTATGTACGCCGAATTCGACGTTTTGTAGAAATTGCCTGAAAGGAGTTGGTTAGCGAAACACTGAGCATTTATAGTAAAACTGAAATATGCTGTTGATACAGAATAGTCATAAACATACGCACCATGCGATGTCGACAAAAAGACCTGTGCCCAGAAAGAAGTATTTTTACTCGGATGCCATTCAGAGGGTGTACGTTGTTTCTGTTCTCTTTAGTATAAGCCTACGTTATAGAAAGTCTTCTCGCATTCATTCTTCCCTTGAACTTATTCACACAATAGCTCTAAATCTCTGCAAGACATGTAAAATTGCATGCACTGATTGCAGCTCTATAGAGTACATAATAACAAATGCACCAGATGTTGCCAAGGAATGTGTGGAGATAGACAGCAACACCCTTTCAATATCTATCGAATGCTGATTGCACGCATATTGAAATGTTTGGTGAACTGGGTATAGGACAGTTGATTAATTTCTAATTTTTTCGAGTACAGATAAAATTCAGAAAAATACATGAGACAGCACGGCAGCAAGGTCGATGTCGTAAATAATTTCCGCCTCACCGCGGTGGTCTAGTGGCTAAGGTACTCGGCTGCTGACCCGCAGGTCACGGGATCGAATTCCGGCTGCGGCGGCTGCAGTTCCGACGGAGGTGGAAATATTGTAGGCCTATGTGCTCAGTTTTAGGTGCATGTTAAAAAACCCCAGGTGGTCGAAATTTCCGGAGCCCTCCACTACGATTTCTCTCATAATCATTTCGTGGTTTTGGCACGTTAAACTGTATATATCAATCAATCATGTATCGTAATTAGTTCACTTCAAGAGGTACGCCATTTTTGTGCTGGCGCGCAGGGCGCAAGAATCACACCTCTGCTGTTGTATAAAAAAAACACTAACATTTCGCGCACCAACAGCCATTCGAATTTGTCCGACACCACCAGAACCAATATATGTCATCTGAACATGACATCGAAGTGCGGTTAGCTCAGAAAGGTCATCCTTCCAACACAGCTAAGCCCATATTTTGCTGTAGTGGCGTTTCTATGCACCAAGACAGTTATTATGAATTCCAATATGAATAAAATACATGCACCGAGTGCTAGAAAAAGTTTTCATATGTTGTGCTGATGCACAAGGTGAATGGGCGCTTCGCTAGGTTAACACACTAAAACAAGCAAATAACTTTCGTTTTAATATTTGACTGTTATAATAAACACAAGTGTTGTTTTCGGACAATACTCCCACTCCCGCATTCTAGAGCGTCCCTTCACTTAACGCTTCACCTTCACTTGAGAAAGCCGATGGAAGCGCCCTCCTTAGGCACGGCAAGTCAATGCATATCAGTGATAATTTGGTGCGATTCTGGAGCAGCGCAGCGTCATTTTCAGCCGAGAAGTGGCGCAGAGCTCAACTCTGTCAAGTGAAGGGTGAAAGTCAAGTCAAGGAGCGTTTGTGAATACGGGGGAGTGGCACGAACATAGTTTCTGGCTTCTTGAGCACCGTATCGATAATGGTCGTATTTACACGGTACCCTTCAAGAAACACTTTTTTTGTCGGGACGTTCGGGACAGAACTTCAAATCATATTTGATGAAACCTATTGTTCGGCTAGTTGGTTATTTGTCATATTTTTATATAATTAGGAAAACTTTGACTCCCGCAAATATACACTCATACTATCCCTCACTTATGTACACGAGAGCGTTTGCAACATTCAAAGTTGCGCTAATTATCTCAGAATATGAGATCATATACGGCTCGATATCTATACACAACAAGCTTTCATAGCAATGCGCTTAATTACGCCATTTCTTTACAGTCTTTGTGAGTGGCGGCGACCATATTCTATTTTACTGACCTGGACAGGTTGTCACCAGGTAACGTAAGTTGGCAAATATTTGAACGAAAGAAACTCTTACCCTAACAAGCTCACAAAATATTACCAATGATGATTTACTGTCAGGTAAGTCAGTTACCTTTCATCACAAGACAGGATGTATGTATGCCTCGGAGCTGCATGTATACCTCCATCCGAACTGAGCTCACGAAAAATAAGACGCCGTACTAAAAAACAACACTCAAGCAGTAGGGATGTCTGGATTTGGAGCCTTTAATTTTTTAAATACGGCTTTGTTTGGCAGGTGCAGTTCAGTTCACGAGACATTAGTTGCCCCCCTTCCCATGAAGTTATAAATTCAAAAGCTATCTCTACTGTTCTTTAGTGCATGGCTACATATATATACTTCATTCACCTTATTTTGATATCTGGATCAAATGACTGCATGTTAAAGATGCTCACATGAAGCTTAAGTGAGCCAAACACCCAATTTTCTAGAGCGAGAATGTTCTTTGCCGTCGAACATATTGTCACGTCATTCCATAGGTGCAGACAAGGTTTATCAAAATTATTTCGGCATAGAAAACTTGCCGAAGCACCAACTCTTCTTGAAAAGATGATAGCCACAGTTTTCGCAGCCCCATTTTTTATGACAGACAGTACACCTGAACTGTATCTCAAATTTCTTGTGCAGACAGATGTGAAATATCAGGCGCAATGGGTACTGGCAACCACTTTTTATTTATGTCAGGCTGAAAAAAGCGCAGGTATACATAGTGTTACGCTATTAGGCTAGCCAATGGAAGAAGTCAACGCAAGGCGGGTCTGCTGACATCCAATAGTTTAGCAGATCCCCCATGCGTTGAGTGCAGCAATGTTGATTACCTGTGTAATTAGGGGTCTCGAACACATTTTCCAATGAAAGAGAATTTTGTATTTATACGCAGTATGATTGTGGAAGGGAATACAATCCATTTCGTGGAGAGGGTACGTTTTTATTTTGAGTGGATGACCACCTGTTCATACTACATAGAGGTCCGAATACGTCGTTTTATTGCCATATCAGGTATAGTGCTGTATATGCCCTTTACGAAAAGATGCTCGCATCGCTGCCAGAGTGCTTTCATTCGTATATGCCGTCGTCATGGCACTCCTCCTCAAAGTTTTCCCATTATTGTTAGAAATCACAATGGCAACACATGCGGGCTATCATATATCCACAGCGACATCTGATGCTACCTTGTTAGCCTAAGACAACCGTCAAAATAACATTTTTTTCGAGAAAATACCTGGTTTATTCTCTGAGGCAATCAACAACAAACGTCTTACATGGGCACCCACAAAGGCTAATAGTACTAAACATTTACACCAACTTGACTATTATTTAAAGTAAAACTATGCACTTTAGCTGACTTGCGCTCTGCAGCGATTATTCTGTTACTTCTGAGGCACAACTGTTTCCGTTTCCTTCTTCAATATGCCAAGTGTGATACTGCGAATTAACTTTTAAAATATAGAGCATTAGATGTGTGCTTGTTTTTTGAAAGTTTAATGTCTTGCATTAAAAAAAAGTCCTACTTAATGTAGTAAAATACCTGCAATCTTAGGCTTTAAAAAGGCATATTGAGCAAATTCAACATATTGGGTTGAGCATTTCGTATTCCCGAAAAGTGAATCTACTTGGTAAGGTATGCAGGGCGCTAATGAATTGGTAACATCATAAATATACTACGTACCTTGAGAACGGCAAATATCTTAGTAGGTGTGAATGCCTTGCGGTAGAAGCTTTCTCATAATTCGCCGTAGGTCCGCCGATAGAGTGTGCCTTTATAGAAAAAGTGAGGACTGTTCTTGACATTACAGCCCTGCATGAATGCCAGATACAGTATAGAGGCATGCGGAGGAAGACAGCAATGACGGGCTGTGCGTTGCGAGAGCTCGGGTTGAGGAAACACAGGAAGCGTGCCGTCGCCGACCGCGGGGCCCAGTTTAAGGGGCGCGGCCTCCCCGCCGACGGCCGCTTCCTGCGCCGGAAATTCCCTTGCGTGCATATATAGATACGTCACTGTGCAAACAGACGAAACACAGTGCTGCCAGCCAGAAGACTGGACGCCGAAAATATGATCGTCAATGCTGACAGAATCGATCAACACAACGTGCGTCTTTTGCGTGTATTTGAAACTTGTCAATAAATCATCACATGATAATATAGTATACAAAATACAATAAGATATATTATTATACAGAAGGACCAGTGCTTATGTGTTACATTTTCTGCTGAGGAATTCTCTATTCACGTGCCAGCATCATCGCACTCGACGTGGGTCTGTACTGTCATGCTTTCCTTATCAATTAATTGATATGTGGGTTTAACGTCCCAAAACCACGCTATCGTTATGAGAGACGCCATAGTAGAGGGCTCCGGAAATTTTGACCACCTGGGGTTCTTTATTGCGCACCCAAATCTGAGCAAACGGGCCTACAACATTTCGGCCTTCATCGGAAATGCAGCCGCCGCAGCCGGGATTTGATCCCGCGACCTACGGGTCAGCAGGTCACAGGATTGCCCCTTTCAAAGGGGCAATCATGAGTAGCTTATGCGCCTGTTTATAGGTGCACCATATCGCAGCTTAATTGGCCACCGAAATGGCGTAGCGATGTCTAGGCAACTTCAATGAAGCCCTCAAACTACATTATCTGGCATAGATTTGTGTGCCATCGCTGTTCGCAGCTTTCACGATCTTAAGTGTTCCGTTCGTAGCGCTTGCTCCCGTTGATAGGCTCACAAAAGAAAAAGCACTGCGTACTTGGCTGCAAACACGATACGCCAAAGTGCAGGCGACGCACTC